AGTGCTTTGGCTAGGGGGCACAGGATAAAGCGCACAGCAGCCTTTATACCATGCAGTAAATGACCAGGTCGTGCAGTTCAGTGTGTCGTGGGGTTCTGAGCTATGCACAGTTCTCTTCTTGTGAAATCACAAACGAGGCCCAGGCTTACGGTGCTTAAGCCTTGTGCTTTGCACCCTTGCAAAGACACACACACACACTGCACGGAGACAGCCTCATTCACAAATATCAGAAACCATGTGTTACATGTCCCCTCTGTTCCCAGCTTCTTTGAAAACCCAGGTGGATCCAACTTATGACCCATGGTGTACCAGCCCAAGGACAGCCCAGCCCAAATCATAACTCAAATTGAGAGGCTGTTTGTTTGTTTGTTTGTTTGTTGGGTCTTTAACACACCAGTGTAGTTCTCTAGTGTAAACTTTGTTAATGGCAACATCTTGTTCCAATGTCCGAAGCAGGCTGTGTGGAAAGAATAGAGACAAGCTCTTAAGCTGATTGTACAGGAGAAATGATCAGGACAGACAAAGATACTACAGATGTCCAAAAGATAAAATAATACAGTGAATGAATCTGACTGATTGAAAGTGTGTGTGGTTTTCTAATTACCAAGCTAAAAATTAAGGAAAGCCTTGTGATGTTTTCAATAGATGGAGCACAGATCATATGAAAAAAAAAAAAAAAAAAAAAGCTTAGTACCCACAGCCCCGTGAGCTGACTCGGGTTTAAGACACCTGCTACCAAGTGTTTGTTCGATGACCTGAGTTTTCATCCCCAGGATAAAACCTCCACATAGTGAAAGGAAAGAACTGGCTCCAAAACACTGTCCTCTGACATTCCCAAGTGTGTGCACACACATAATAAACAAAAAAAAAACCAAATAAATGTAACAAAAAAAAATCATTATGTACTTAGCATTTTTAAAAGTCAGCAATAGAACCTAGGGAAAAATAAAATAAAAACTTAGTCCCCAAACCCTAGCACAAACATCTTTGGATCATCATTGTCATGTGCAAGGAGCTGTGGGAGGAGACAGTTACACTCTAGGCTCTGGGGTCTGGGCTGAGGAGAGACTTGTGTGAAGCCAGCCAGTGTGAACTGAGCTGATTGCTGATGGGTTAAGTGTAGCAACAGTTGGTAAAGCACTTCCCTCCCATGTATGAGGCCCTGACTTCAGTCCCCAGCGCCCAAAATAAACAAAGGCCAGAGTTCAAAAGGCAGGACCTAACCCAGAGCCAGTCTGAGGAAGTGCATGGAGGGTTCCGCCAGGGCGGCTCTAAGGACAGCAAGCAGCAGCGAGTGTCAGCATTAGACCGACAGCAAAACTGCGGTGAACACTAAATGAGGGCTTCACAGACTCTAAAGAGGCAAATAAATAAATAGATAGATAGATAAATCGCATCTAAAGGATTAATTCTGAGCCAGACAGCAAACAAGACTTGGAAAAACCACACACCAATACACTATCAGGGGCCAGGGGCACGGCAGCACCTAGAGAGGAAAATGTTCGCAGAACCAGCATGGCTTTAAACAGATGGTACATTTGTTTGTTGTTTTTCCATTCAGAAAGCAAACAAACACCGTCTGCCAGTCAGCCCAGGTAAGTCACCAGGCTTAGTGACGTGAACCTGACGTGGAAAGTCATGGAATTTCAGTCGAGACAGACATAATCTGCTTTGTGTTCTGAGAGCACTCTCAGGCAAAATTGGGTCAATATAAATGACAAATTAACAAGTTGGTTTATGTTGAGCTTTCATTTGTTTGCCTCATTGGTAGTTGGTTGGTTGGTTTTTGAGACAAAAATCTCTGGTAGCCTAGACTGGCCTTGAACTCCTGACCTTGCCTCCACCTCCCAAGGGCTGGGATGCCACAATACCCAGGTACTAAGTATTGACTGTGGCAAGTGTGTCTAAGAAGAACCACGATAAGAGCTGAGGAGCAAAGAAACTGAACAGCAGAGCTGGCTGGTGGGTGAGAGGAAGGGTCAGGTAGTTGAGCTGACCGGCGTATGGGGTAGCGCTGCCAGCGTCACAGAGACAGGAGGTGACCTGAAAAATAGCGAAGGCCTGATTGATCTGGAGGGCCACGCCCTTTCCACTGCACTCTGCCTACAGTGAGAGGCAATGCTCTCCAACCCTCACAGCACCCACGGGGGCAGGATGTGATAGGGGACACCGGTAAGTGGACGGACACTTCAGCGCAGTATTAGAATTAAGAAAGCAAGAGGGCTGGGCCTAAAGGAGTGTGCGGCCGCCACCTGGCAGATCTTGAGTTCTTAATTCCACCATGCACTGAAGTGGTCCTCCAACAGGGACAGGTGGATCTCTGAGTTTGAGGCCAGCATGGTCTATAGGAGTGAGTTCCAGGACTACACAGAAAGACCCTGTCTCAAAAAACAAAAACAAAAGAAAAGAAAGAAAGAAAGAAAGAAAAGAAAAGAAAAAAGAAAGATCCTTCTGTACCTGACGCTTTGAGAAAGCGGGTTCCCTGGTAATCTTACTTTTCTGTGATAAAATATCTTGACAAGATAAACTTAAGGGCTCATAGTTTCAGGTGGATTGTTTCCTGGTGGGGAAGGCATGCGGGCGGGGAAGGCGAGATGATGGTAGAGCAGGGAAGGCGTGGACGCGGGAGCAAGCCTGGCTGGTCCCGTTGCATCTACATTCAGGAAGCAGAGTGAACAGGAACTGGAGCCAGGCTACAGAGCCTCAAGGCCTGCCCCGAGTGACCCACTTCCTCCAGGCAGGCCCGACCTCCTAAACCTCCACAACCTCTCAAAACAGCTGGCAATCTCCTGTTCAACTGCATGAACATTTTATGCTCAAACTATAACACCTGTAATACTTTACCAAAAGCTGTGGCTACAGATTCTCCAAAGGGAATCTGTCTACCAAAGAGCAGACGGCTCCCAGAAACTGAACCAAAGCCAATAAAATTACCAATTAGTCTGCTGATAAAGGAAAATTAAGCAGCTCAGTTCATCTTGTGTTTGCTCCTCGAGTCAGGGAAGTCACTGTGACCTATACGGAGTCTGCCATGACAAGAGTCTCAGAAGGACATAAGACGGAAGCAAGGACATATCCTCCAGGATACAAAATAAACTAGATCGGGCTGGTTTGTGTGGCAGAGCGGCTGAATAGGAAAAGCGAAAGCAAAAGATTCTCCATAGACAGCAAAGCAGTGCTTTAAAGCTGTTTCTTTTGGATTGGGGACAAGGAAGGGGAAGCCCAGGGCTGGTGGCAGATGGGGTCCTGTCAGACGATAAGGAGAGACAGCATTTCCAACTCGCAGCTTTTCTGTTTGTTCTATCTCGAAAAACGGTTCTTAATATAGAAACATTAAACAAACACCTAGAAGACGTTGACTCTAGATTAGATGTGTTGTGTGAGTGAGTGTGAGTGTGTGTGTGTGTTTGTGTGCATGAGTGTGTGTACGGTGCTGCACAGAGGAAGGATTAAGAGTGCATACTGTTCTTGCAGAAGACAAGGGTTTCCCAACACCCACCTCAGGCAATCCACAACTACTTACAACTCCAACTACAGGGCATCCCAAGGGAGCTGGTGTGTACCCACCCACACAGAGATGTTTTTTAAAAAGAAAAACATGTCAGTTGGATAAAATAGTCAAAAGACTTCCCTATAACAAAACAAACAAGGAGGTATTTAATTCCTTTTAGTTAGTTAATTGGTTAGTTGTTAGTTTTTTGAGTCAGGGTCTTGCTACATAGTCCAGACTGACCTGGAACTAACTGTGTAGGTTGGCTTTGAGTTCACGGTGATCCTCCTGCCTCAGCCTCCTAAATGCTGGGATATCCGCTGTCATCCTCCACACTCGGTTCAAAAAGATGGTATTTAATGAAGTGCATAGAGAGTCTTGAGCGGGTTAAGAAAAGGATTTGATGCCTAAAGAAAACATGAAATATTGCTGCACCGTCGCTATTGCAGAAAGCTGGAGTTCCTTTGTGAGCAAATGTGAACTCCAAAGACCAGGGCTGTTAAAAAATGGTGTCTGTAACCCTGGATCACAGCACAAAGGTCCGAGAGCCCCCACCCCCCTCCTCCATTTCCCCAGAAGGTTACTTTGTTGTGATTTGAGTTGATCTGCTCAGGAAGATTGCCAGACAGTATTGTTCAATAGTTACTGGAACTCTTTCCAAATGTCTTGAGATAGCTTACAAAAAATATCACTCTACCTCTGACTTTGATATAAACCAAATTAACAAAATGTTTTTGCACTCTTGAATTAGGGGATGGCGGGGGGGGGGGAAGCTCAGTAATTAAGAACACTGTGGCTGCTCTTCCAGAGAACCCAGGTTTGATCCCCAGCACCACACAGCAACTCACAACTCTCAGTCAGTCCAGTTCCAGGGGGCCTGTGATCCTCTTCTGGGCTCTATGAGCATTGGCGTGCACATATACACCTGTCTGTGCTGTAATAACACAGGAATACAAATGTATCTCCCCTGAGACTCAATCCTAACTGTACTTTTCACCATTTGGCTTTTCTTCAGGGGAAAAGAAAAAATCCAAACTGCCAGTCACCAGCCTATGATCAAACGTGGTGTGAGCATCCCTGGCCTGGGAAGGGTCCACATAGCACCTGAGCATTCTGTATGAGTTTGATTTGCACAGGGGGGAGAAGGAAAGAGAGAAAGACATCAGCAGGCAGCTAGGGCTTCTCTGACGCAGAAAAGCACATCAGTATTATGGACACACGAGCAGGCAAAAGATGAGTCCTTTGCAGTAGGACACTAGTCATCACGGGCATGTGACCTTGGAATTGAAGTGGTCGTGTTCTCCCGGCCCAGAAGGACTCCTCCAGAGCAGGCACAGGTGGGTTTCATTTGCAATGCCCATGACCTTGAGGCAGCCACAGGGTGCCGGGAACCGCTCTCCTGCCGAGCCCTGCTTGCCACAAACATGGCCCGTTAAAGTGGCTCGGAAGCAGTTTGATCATGGGGCGAGAAACGCCAATCTAACCCATTTGCCCTTGATGTCTTAAGCAGATTCAGGGACACAGGACGAAGCCCAGCTCTTGCAGGAGTGGTTGAAGCTGGTTCTGGAGAAGAATAAATTAATGCGATACGAGTCGGAGCTACTGATCATGTAAGTAAGGCAACACAGATAACTGTGAGTGCTAACAGCCTGGTAGCGGGAGCGGGGAGCTCACCGTCCTTGGCTGGAGTCCCAGCGTTTTTCTCCTTTGTGCATATGGAACAGTGATTGAGGCAAATTGGTATTTTGTGTCTTGCATAACATGCTGGCATTAGTGGAAAGACTCTTCCGTTGTCTGCTCTCTCTGCGGAGTTCAGTGGCTAAAACAGATTTCAGTAGCAGGTCAGGAGCTAGAAGGCAGCTGGTTCATTCCTGGCCCGCAGTCACGCGCCAGCCATCCAGAGAGGAGCTGTGCTCCCCCCCCCCCCCACCCCGTGTGTGAACCATGGGGAACCCGCCTGACCACTTCCCGGGGGTTTTAACAAAAGAAGAGCTGAACCCTGGCTGTCTGAGTTCTGTCTGTGTGTCTTGGAGGAAGGGCTGGTGGACTGCTTAGAGAGAAGATACGTGGCTCATCACGCGATTCTGCAGCAGACAAAGGGTGCCATATCCACCAGAATGAGAGAGAGAGAGAGAGAGAGAGAGAGAGAGAGAGAGAAAGAGAGAACAGCATTGGGTATAAACCACCAAGCTCCAGAATTTCCCTGGGTGTTTTTATTTACAATGTTTCATTTTCACTCCAACCCTGAGACATCATCTGGGTGACTTTAGAGGGGGTCCATTCTTCTCTGCCATGGGGTCTGAACCAAGAGAGAATTATTAATCGTAATCGATGGCTGAGGATGAGCCCTCAGGCAGGCTTGCTAGCTAGTTTCCTAGGGCCCCTGACAAACTGTTACCAAGTAGGTGACTCCCAACAACCAGAACATCTTACAGAAGTCCATGTGAAGGTGTCCAGGTAGCCTCATTTTCCCGACCCTCTCACAAGGGACTCCTTCCTTGCCTCTTCACCCCTTGTGGCTCCAGGTATTCCTTGGCGATAGCTGTGAAGAGCCTCTGAGCTCTTCACACGGTCTCCATGTATCCGTGTCTCCTCCATGTCTGTCTCTTAGAAAGCATTCTCACTGGGCTTTTGGCTCACTGATGTAATCTAGACTGTGACCATCTCAGGGTCCCTAACCATGTCTTCAAAGAGCCCTTTTAAAGTAACATCACATTCACTATTTCCAGGGCACTATGACCAGGATGTGGACATATCTGTCCCGATCAACCCATTACAGTAGCCAAATCTCAGAATTGGATATATCTGTGTAATGAGGAAAGGAAGTGGACCTACTTGATCCTCATGGGAAAGGCTTCTCCTAGACCTTGGATCTCAAGGGCCGAGTGATATCCCCAGAGGCTATGAGGCAATGGCCAGGAAGTTGTGTTTGGTGGTCACATGTGGCTATAACCAAAGGCTCGTGGATGCCAGCCAAGGATGCTAAGCATTCTCCCTGTAATACTATAATACACAGGGCAACCTCTCCTCCCACCAACAAGGAATGAGCAGCCAAAAGGGTTAATGGGTGTCAGCTGTGAAATCTTAACCAAGGCCAAAGCCCAGGCCAGGGCACTTGAGAACACATGCTCGCTGAAGACAGGCTGAGCCTGGGAGAGAAGGAAAAGGTGAGGTGGACATGCCTCATCTACTTGTTATCAAAATCTCCCTGAGAGTGGGAGTGGGGGAGTTGGAGGAGGAGGCCAGGAGTTACACTCACTACCCTCCATTCACAGGGAGGGCAATGCCAGGCATGGGGAAAAGTGGATCCTCTCTAGCAACCATTTACTTCGCAACTATTTTTTAGCTGATGAGGATAATAAGCCTCCAAGGAATTAAGTAATGTGTCCTCATCCGCCTAACTACAAAGCCCTGAGATGCAGCCATGCAGGCTGCATTGGAGCTAGGTCTGAATTATAAAGTCCTTTCAACAGAAATTTACCAAGAACATCTTCTTTATACCAGGAACTCAGCTGGTTTCTACAGGAACAGGCCATAGCCAGGCATGGAGATACAAGCCTAGAATCCCAGCCCTTTGGAGGTTGGAGGGCATTGGGGGGGGAGGGGGTGTCAGAGAAACAGCACATGGCCCGATAGCAATAAGAAAGCCCATCCAGGGTTCCATGAAGGATACAAGAGTCTGTCTTGGGGAGGAGGGTGGCCATCAGGAGCTGCAGGCCAGGGCCAGTAGCCTCCCTAGAGACTACCCTGGCCATAAGAGCAAGTATGGTCTTATGGTCCTCCATAAGACGTCATTTAGGACAGCTGGGGTGCGAGCGCTGGATGAGGCACGTCGGAGGGTAGGTTTTGGTTGGAGGAGGACTGTATGAACGAGCAGAGATGTCTTAGATGGGTGTGTCCGGTCAGACCCTTTGGGATGTGAAGTCAAGACAGAATGAGAGGTAGGTGAGATTCCTTGAGCGAGGAGAAAGGTAGCGGCCGAGTCTCCGGCCCCTGCTGCAACTCCAATTTGTTGTGAAAACAGAGAAGGAAGGAAAGAGACCTGGGCAGGAGGAGTTCCGGGTGTGACTTGACTCTGAGTCTCAACCAAGCCACAGGTACATCAGTGTAGAGGCAGCCCACAAAGGACTTGGCAGTATTCATGCCTCTAGAACACCCAGGAAGTCAACAAAGGAACAGCAGGGCTTCAGGGTAACCCTGAAGCCGATCCTATAGCAGCCTCCATGTCAGTAACCCTCTCTGTGACCTGAGCTGCGGCCACCACCTCTAAGCTCCTGCAGAGGGCCTGCAGATGGTCAGTGCCAGCAGCAGCAGGGCTGGGGGTGTGGCGTAGCTGGCAGAGTGCTTGCCTAGCACATACAAAGCCCTGGGTTCGGGCCCCAACACCACAGGTCTACACCAGTGGCACCATCCGCAACATCGGCACTTTGTGTAGAAGCAAAGGGGAGCGGCAGGAAGAGCAGAGGTTCAAAGCCATCCTTGGTGGCATAGTAAGTCTGAGGCCAGCATGCACTACATGAAGCCCCATCTCAAAAACTAAGAAGCGAAATATAAAAGGAAACCGACGGCAGCAACGGGGTAGAGCAGGGTGGCCCCAACACTGTCGCAGGGAGATGCAAATACAGGTCACATCTGAAGGGTAAGTCACACGGGAGGGACAGAGAGGCCCATCCCCCATCCCCGGCCTCTGTGGCCCCAGGGCAGCGCCTGAGCCCCCTCTTCTCTCACACCCTGTAGCTTCTGTGAGGATGCATGTGCTGCTGTGCCCTTTGACCCCTTGGGGGACTCTCGGTGCTTTTCCCCTCAACCCTTTACTTTCTCTCCAGTCTTTTGTTGAGGTTTGTGTGACTATCACCTCTTGGCATCACCGCATCTGTCAGGGTCCTCATTTCTCCGGTGAACCCCAAAGTGGCATTCAGAAGTTCCTCTAAACAACGCATGGGCCAGCACCTAAGGAGCTATACAGTGTGGGAACACCTGGGGCATCCCCAGGCTCTGAAAAGTCAAGTCCACAGTTGACTTGCAAAGAGGACTGGGCTCCGCTCCCTGCCCTTCTGGTCCCCACAGAGGCAAGTTCAGTATCATGGCTTTCAGCATCACCCCCTCTAACTGTCTCATCGTCTCTCAAATCCAGCACATCTCAGCCATCTTTCTAGGTACCTCTGGTTGGTCCCAGCAGTAGCAATGCCTCTATTTAGAGATATTAAAAGATGCCGGTTATAATGAGAAAAAGAACTGTGTCGGCCACTGTCCATGGGGCCTCCATTCACGATTCCACATAGTTCCCTGTTAATGGCTGGAACATTTTCTTGTACTCAGGGCCCAAGAACTAGAACTAGAAGATCACCAGAGCAGGCTGGAGCAGAAGCTACGAGAGAAAATGCTCAAGGATGGTGAGTACAGGGCACATTTGGGGCCCCTGCTGAAAACACACACACACACACACACACTCTCTCTCTCTCTCCAGGACATTTGAACATGTCATGCTACAGATGCAAATGGAGAACCCATCCCCCCTTGCTACAGCCTGAGATCCAGCCTTGGAAAGCACAAAGCCTTCCTGTTCCTTGTCCACCCCGGAAGCCCAGCAGCACCTCCCCCCCTCTCAAATAGGCATCATTCATTTGTGAGATTCACATTTCCTTCATCCCATGTGTTGATAGAAATAAAGCAATTTATTTAATTCTTAAATGTATTTTTTATGATGGTGGAATCTGGTGAAGCCCCATCGGGCCTTGAACACCCAAATTTTCCTGCCTCTATATAACGTGTTACTTTTCTCACAGCTGTGACCAAATACCTGAAGAGGTCTGTTTTGTCCTACAGTGTGAGGGGACGCCATCCGTCATGGCTGGAGGGCATGGTGATTGGTGGGTCTGTGGTGGGAGGGGCATGCCTGCAACCCCAGCAGCAAAGAACAAGAGAGGCTTCACCTGGAGCAAGGTGGAAGATGAGAACCAGCTCCTACACGTTGTCCCTAGACCCCCAGGGGTGTGCTGTAGCGGTACAGGACCATAATCCCAGTCCTTTGGAGGCTGAGGGAAGATTATCAAGAGTTCAAGACCAGTCTCAGCTATATGCCAAGTTTGAGGCCAGTCTGGGATGCAGGAGATCATGCACATACACACTCACACTTACACTCACACTCACACACACACACACACACACACACACACACACACACACACATTCTCAGGGTGAAACTGGAGTTGACTCCTCCACAAAGCACATACCTTTCTCTTCTGTGGCTTTAGGGACAGCTCCTTAGGGTTAAATTCACTTCATTGTAATCATAGGACATAACAAGCCCAGAACCATTGTGAACTACGATAAGAACTCCCCTGGTGCCCCAATCTTACCCGAGCACTGACTGTTTTATTTTTCTTCTTCTTCTTCTTCTTCTTCTTCTTCTTCTTCTTCTTCTTCTTTTCTTTAGAGAGCCAGAAAGATGAGAATGATCTAAAGGAGGAGCAAGAAATCTTTGAGGAGATGATGCAGGTGATTGAGCAAAGAAATGAGCTCGTGGATTCCCTAGAGGACCAGCGTGTCAAAGAAAGAACCCAAGACCAACACTTTGAAAACTTTGTTCACTCCAGAGGCTATCAGCTCAGCAGGACTTGAGGTGCCCCTCCCCCCACAAGCCGGAGAGCTAAGAACACCACACTTTCCCACCCAGGCAGTGAATTTAGACTCTACTGATTAAAAAAAAAAAAAAAAAAAAAAAAAAAGTCTCTCAAATGAGCTGTGTGTGGTACCTCACATCTGTAATCCCTGCTGAGAAAAGCTGAGGCAGGAGGAGTGCTGTGAGTTCCAGGCCAGCCTGGGTTATACAAAGAGACCCTGTCTCAAAAAAAACAAACATCTCTTATAGCTCTTATATCTGTTATGGGTTCCCAGGATTTTTTTTTTTTCAAAAACTATAATGAAATGATGGCAGAGGTTGGCAGTGCCCATGGGCCAGTCCTGATTGTCTCGGAGAGTCACACAGGCCTGACCTCCCTGCTGCCTTTGTCGTTTTTCTTTGTTCATTGAGTTACATGTTTTAAGACTTTTAAGAAATGCCTTTTCATTAATACGCCCATATTTGTCTTTTTTTCATGGCTGACCAGTTTCCAAATGTCAGGGCACAGCAGCAGCAGTTTAAAGATTAGCTTAATATTTAAATTGTGTTTCCAGAGAAAGCAGAGAAACCCTGAGATTACTGATTAAATAAAGCCAATAACTCATATAGCAGGTGTTAATTCAATCCAGGGTGAATTTAATTTACCAGGTATATTTATAAGCCTTAATATAATATACATAAGCAATGAGAGTTGAACAAAAACATTTGAGCTTTAATTTAATTTTTTTTAAAAGAAAAAAGGAAATAAAACTTTAAGTTCATGCCAGCAGGGTTCTTGGTTTTCACCAAATCCGCTGCCTTAGAGGAAGCCTGTTCCCACAATGCTCTGCTTCTAACCCTGGACCACAATAAGTGCTTTTAGGAAATGAATGGTTTTGAAGTGCTTTCTGAGTGAGTGTTGGTGGTGGCAGAAGGGAAGCTTTCACTTGTTGATAAAACATTGGTGAGCTTACAAGGCTACTAAAAACAAACACAGCGTGAGCTAGGGGAAGATGCTTCCTCGAGGTCACCTGTGGTTAGCATCAGCATGCATCACCTCTTTGAGACAAAGACCAACCACCTCTGTCTTCCAGGTAGAACTGAAGGCAGTGCCCCCATTTATCTAACTCCAGATTCAATTGTGTGTGGGGGGGGGGGGAGGAGAAATTTTAAATTTGCAAAAAAGAGTTTGTGGAAGGAGTGGGCATGCCGACATGTTAGGCTCTTTGAGTATTTGGACAGTGCACACAGGGATGAAAGAAGACAAAGTTTAAACTGGTAATTTATTGTCATAAAATATTTGATTGTCCTTTTGTGGAATCCTTAGAAGATTTAACCTGCTATCAATGAGAGAAGAGACTGAAGGGTTCTCACATGTGTATCTGGCCACTCATTTCCATGAGTGTTTAAATATTTCACTAGGCGAAGGTGCTTTGTAGCTGTAACCGGTGCCTGGACTTTCCTTGATCTAGATTTGCCCAATAACAGCTTCCATCTGAGATGCTGTCTGTGTGGTCCAACCTTGCTGGGGATGAGCCAGATCTTGTCTGACACCACTTAGCCAGAGTTTGGGGGAGGAGTTGGCCAACTTTCCATGGCACACTAAAGTACAGTAGCTGCCTTTACTCTTTTCTCTGTTTTTCTATTTTCATTTTTATGTTCTAGAATCGAGTCTTCTAGTGCGTTCAGTTCTAATATGAGGGAACAGTAGGGGCATTTTCCTACCTACCTACTTACCTAAAAAATTGACGCATCTCTGGCTATTTATTTTTATTTATTTTCATGGTTAGTAGACAAGGGTCATGTGATTTCCCATCATTCTGATTCTCCGAGGTTATCATTTTTGGAGAGGACCTTTCTAAACAAAGATATTACCATGTAAGCAACATCATGTTGAGATGTTTGGTTTTCAGAGTAAGAAAGATGAATAGAGGTCATCAAAATAATATTTTCAGTCAGGCGTGGTGGCACACACTTTTAATCCTAGCATTCAAGAGGCAGAGGCAGGTGGATCTCCCTGGGTTCAAGGACAGCCTGATTTACAATATAAGTTCTATGTCAACCAATGTTACATAGACAGACCTTGTCTCAAAAAATTTTTTTTCAGCCCCCAGGCACTGAGAAGAATATTGGATGCACAGGAATGAACCCATTTTGCTAAAGTTTTTCTTCTCCCAGTTAAATGAGAGCATGCTGCTTGCTGTCCGTGTGTATTTAACAGAGGATGTTTGTTTGTGTGCCTAGGTTGTCATTCTGAAAAAGAATTGACACTTGTTTTAACTAATTATAAAAAGGATTCTCAGCCAGGCATGGTAGCCCATGCCTGTAATCCCAAAATGCTGGGATTACAGGGGCAGGGGCAGATGGATCTCTGTGAGTTCAAGGCTAACCCGGTCTACAAAGTGAGTCCAGGATAGTTAAGGCTACATAGAGAAACCCTGTCTTGAAAAAACAAAATAAATAAATAAAAAGGATTCTCTCGAGATGGCTTAGTGATTCTTGGTCTACTGTTGAATTGTTATTTTGTGGCTGCTGAGCTACTTAAAAGGACTTGCCTCCATGCAACGCAGAATGTTCTAGACCTTCAAAATGTACAGGGCACAACTTGAAGATGGGTTGGTTGGTTGGCTGTTCTCAACAGAGCAGGACTGTGAAAGGATTCTGTACTGACCTGCCAGAGAGCCCCAGGGTAGAAAGTCAAGAAGAAACCAAGGCTCCAGCCTTGGGTCATATTTCACACTCAGTCTCCCACACCTTCAAAATCAAGCCAGACGGGTTTGATTGGCACAAGCTCAGAATTTTACCCAAGCTGGAACAAGAATTGTTCTGAAGTGTGGTCTCCCCAACCATCCACCTATTGATCTACTTATTCAGCATTCTCTGAATGCTGGTGGGGTGCTGGAGGCTAGGCTACAGAACAGAGCTTTGCTGTCCTCTCCATCTCCAAAGAGGTACACCAGTCAGGAAATCACTGCCATCCCCAGGGAAAAGCATAAAGAGATTAAAACAAACACACAAACACTTCCATCTACTTTGCTCAGAATAAGGACTTCTCTCCCAGACTACTGTAATCTGGCAATAAAAATAAGTGTGTTGCTAAAGCTGTGAAAAATCCTATCAGGTTGTAGGTTTTCCTTTAGACCTCCTAGTTGGCAGCGTCAGGCTGCTTGGAATCAATCAATGGTGAGCTACAGCATGTTAATTACCGCTGAGAAAGGAAGTGGCTGATGGTGCCAACTCTGATGAGCCTCGATGCGATGCAATTGATGTTTTCAGCATGGGCGGCGGCGTGTGGGGGGTGTGTGTGACAAATTTGGTGATGTCTCTCTTCCTGGGCAGCAGATTGATAGGCTTCTCCATCCAAACTGAAAATGGCAGCATGCCCCACCCAGGTGGCTGATCAGAGAAACTACCTCAGCAGGGCAGAGGTGGCAGGGGCCAGCTGGCTACACCACACACAGGCACGAATGGAGAAAGGCCGAATGTGGGGGAGACGCCATGTGGGAACTGATTGTCCTTGGAAGGTTCATTTGGGGCAAAGTCTCCTATTTCACCTGCCCTTGATCCCTCTCACCTCGGTGCTGACAAGCTTGTAAAAGATTAATCTGCTGCGGCAATTGGTAGCTATTCATGTTGATGGAAACTCGTTATATGCATGGCTCTAAATACGGAAATGAACCCTCAGAAAAATGGTTTTGTGTCTCAGGCATCAAAACATATTCATGTGGGCTGGGCTGGCCCCTCTGAGGGCAGCGCTCATTTCATCTCTTTCTTCTCCGTGAAAGAACCTGGACAAAGCCTTGATTTCGGGCGGAGAGTCTGGCAATTAGTGTGGGCCCTGTCGTTACACTACCCACCTGGAGGGATTTACCTGCCTCTCCTCGGATTCCAGTGGGAGTAGGGGAAGGCGCTCAGCTCAGGTGTGTTCCTTCTCTCAACAAAGAAAGCTATTTTTACTACCATTGTAGGGGAGGAATGAGGCCGTCCTTACCAGCTTGCCTGGTCCTCTCACCTTCTTGCCCGTGGAAGGCTGGTTTTGAATTCCACTTATTCGCCAGGGACACACCCTTCCGAGCACAGCTGGCTGTTTCCTCCCTCTCTCAGTCCTTGAGGATCAAGTTTGTTTTGCCTCGGTTCTTAACCTCAGCACATTCGAATGGGTAGAATGTAAATTATAGTGCCCCATGAATGGCGGCATCAGGAAATCAATCAGTCAGTTTGAGAGTGCTCCCCATTCTCTCAAGCCGCCCGCATCCTGGGAAAGCTTTGTCTGATCCACTGTTTGAGAGACTTTGCTTTCCTCATTGGCTGTCCATGGGAAATGTCCACTGTCGTCAGTGCTTTGTAGGCACTGTAAGGTGAAGGAACAGAGACAGTCACCGTGGAGGAGCTTGGCTGGGGTTTGGAGGCCTTGTGGGACTCAGCTGCTTTCTCAGTGGTTCTGGGTTGCAGACAGACTCAGCCTTTCTATGCCTGTTACCAAAGAGCACCATCCTGAGCCTTCAGAAGCAGGCTGGGTAATTGTTGCTCACTCCCTCTTCTCAGATCATTTTTTTTTTTTTTTTTTTTTTTTTTTTTGCAGAAGAGGGAGGAGGAGGGGGAGAGGAGGAAAGAAAGAAAGTGGGGAGAGAAAATATAAGGTCCTGGGTTTGACCTTCACATCACAAAAAAAAAAAAAAAAAAAAAAGGAAGGAAGGAAGGAAGAGAAGAAAGAAAAGGAGAGGGGGTTAGGGAGAGAAACAAAAACCATGGCAACACAGCCCACCAGGGAAGCCGCTGGACCTGAACCCAGTGTCTTGACAGCCACTGTGAATTCAGCTTGTCCCACCTGTTGGGTGCTCTAAGCTCTATGTGTTATCCTGTCTACTCCTGAAACATGCAGTCCTTAAGGTAAGCATTGTCAGCATTGAATCCTCAGAGGATGAGCCTGAGACACGTAAGAGGCTCAGACACTCAACTAATCACCGTTGTTCCGCCGTGGCTTCAGGGGTCTGGGGTTTAGACCTCCAGGTTGCACGGCCCTCCTCTGTAGCCCACCCAGCCTCCTGCCTCTTGTTACCTGCTTCGGTATCCATCATCGGCCCTCACAAATAACGTGCTAACACACAGTCTGCCGAAGTAAATCTGGGAACACAGCTCAAGCTGCCATTTGACCCAGTATTGTGTGTGTGTGTGTGTCTGTGTGTGTGTGTGTGTGTGTGTGTGTGTGTACTCCAAAATCCAAATAATGGTCCAAAACTGTTAACCTACCTAGCCCTGCAGCACCTCAGCAAAGTCTACCCCACAGCCCACAAATTGCACGCTCCCCGGGGTAGCTGCAGATGTAGCCTGACATAAATCATGAACTCGCTTAAAATATGATGCTGTATGTTTTGTTGTTGTTTTCTTTGTAACTGAGCTGTGCTGTTCTCTAGCATGGACTTTGCAGAGGACAATGTCGTGTTACTATGTCCCTGCCTAGGCTAGGGAGATGACTCTCACACGCTGACGGAGTTGTGGACCTGGGTTAGGATGCAGGTGTCATGGAACCCTACCCAGTCCTAGCCTGGCATGGTGACCCATACCTGGGAGGTGGAGGCAGGAGGATCAGAAGCTCAGGGTCAGCCTAGGCTAGCCTGGATACTTAAGACCCTGTTTCCAAAAAACTCTGTGTGTTATGAGAGGGGTGCTGAAGAGATGGTGAGGGTGGGTGAGTATGATTCCTGGGCAAACATGAGGACCTGGGTTTGTATTCCCAACACCCATGCAAAAGCCAAGCATGGCTGCACTTGTGGGATAGAGACAGGCTCACTGCCCAGCTAACCTAGCCGAAGGGCAAATTTCATCTCAGTAAGAGATCCTGTTTCAAGGGAATGAGGTCTAAAGCATTAGAGGAAGGCAGAGGCACTGCTGTGTGAGCGCATTGCTGCATGCCCCCTCCACACACACACACAAGCACACACACACACACAAGCACACACAACGATAAATAAAATTTAAAGACAGGATCACATCCTGGTGTTAAAGAACACAGAGGGATGTGAAAGGAAAGGAACTGAGAAAGAGAATTTGGGGAGAGGGTGAGGGGAGGTAATTCTTGCAAGCTTTTGAGGGGACTGTGTAGAGAGGGTCAAGACATTCCAGGAGGGATGGAGGGAGGATATTAGTCATTGGAGAAGCCCCCATGATCCTGGATCATGGGAACCAACAGCCTGATGCTGAGCAGAGGTGGCACATGACTTCAGTCCCCTCCACACTCTAGAAGAGTAGGCAGTATGTCCACGGTGATCTGATGTGTGCCCAGATACAGGTGTATGCAGTGCTTGCACCGTGTGTGTAAACAAGACCTTACTAGACTCATTTTGAAACAGTCCAGCAGCTAAATAAACATATCCATTCTAAACACAGCCCCAAGGGAGAGGCCAAGTTAGGACTCTAATTCTAGCTCAGTCTGCTCACTGGATGCCCCAGAAACTTGATGTGTAGTGGAAGGCCACATGTATCAGTCTTTTTCAAAACTCTCTTTGGGGTGTTTAGGCCTCTACCTTCCTTCCACCGACCCCCTCAACCTTAAGTAGGAGAAAAGATTAGTGTGAAGAGGGGTCCCAGACCCCTTTACTTCTCCCGTCTATTTAGGGTCCAGGGGTTCTTTTAGGGTTCTATACCAATCTCCGTCAAGCACAGGTGCAGCTAGCAGGCTCCACACCACTGCACCCCAAAGCATTTCTCTCCATCTGTGTGCTTCAAACCGCCACACCGTCTCTGGTCTCTCCAATCTGCTACAGCCCACATGCCAACACTGAACTCTGCCACGAACGAACACCACACCTTTTCTTTTTTAGCTCTCATATGCTCTCAGAGTCCTAGACCACACCCCTCTTCACACCACACATGGAAGCTGGCAAAATCACGCTCCAAATGTGACAATTAACAGGTGTGAACAAACTATAGCCCAACTAAAATCCCACACTTGGGATTAAAAACAAAACGTATTTACATAAAATAACTGAGTTTACAGAGAAACCAAAACTTCTATTATATTGATATCTCCACCTGTGACCCTGGGCTGCCCCCCAAAAAAACAGTTCATGCTGTATATAGACATCAGTTTTTCAACGGGAATGGCAGGGTTGGAAAGATAGCTCAGAGTCTAAGAACACTTGTTACTTTTGCAGAGGATCTGTGTTTGATTCCCAGCACCCACATGGTAGCTCACAACCATCTGTAACTCCAGTTCCAGGGAATCTGATGCCCTCTTCTGGCTTCGGTGGATACCACACACATGGTGGCCAGACATACATGCAAGAAAACACTCACTTGCGAAAAATAAAAGTAAATAAATAAATAAGTCTCAAAAGAATAAAACAACAATTTAAAAAAACAGGAACGGGCAGATTTTAACTTCAGCCCCAACATCAGAACCAGCAAAGGACCCCTAGATTCTCAGGTCAGAAGGGGCAGTTTTCTGTAGGGGAGACATGGGCAGAGGTCAGGTCA